ACTATATGTCCTCCTTGGCGACGCGCGCCCGTCTTGTAGCATATCGTAGAACCGTTCTGTAGCATATCGTTTCCCGAGCGGGATGGCCCGAAAGCGTCGGCCACGGAGCTGATATACTCGCGCGTCGCCCCTGATGGGGGGCGACGCACACATAATACTTCGTTTGTCTGGGCGACGCCGATGGGAGTGACATTCCTGGGGCTTTCGACGCCGAGAGGCCGCGAGCAGCAAGAAACAGCTTGCCAGGGTGCTTTCCGGGAAAGGTCTGAGCAACGATTTGGAGCTGATTCGGGTTTCTGCTCCCCCTCCTCCTCCTCCGCCTCCTGCTAGTCATTCACCTCCGCCTCCTCCACCTCCACCTCCGCCTCCTCCTGCCTTTCATCTGCCTCCTCCTCCTTTCCCTCTGACTCCTCCTGCTCCTCCTCGTCCTCCTCGTCCTCCTCCTCCTGTAGCCGCCGCCACGGCTGAAGGGCGCGGGACACGCGGCCGTCCCACCCTGTTCATCGCCCGCCAGGGGAGCAGCGCGCGATGCCCACTCGCCCGCGGGGCCCAAGAGGCCCATGGCGGCTCTCCTCTTGCTCGCGGCCGTCGGCTTCTCGCCGCGGGCGGCCGCCCGCACGTCGACAGGCGCTCGCCGCGCCCTTGGACACACTCAGGAGCGAGAGCCGCAACCTGCTCAGCACATCAGGCTCTACGAGTACATCCCTCTCTACCTGACGGGCAGCACCCGCGCGCAGGAGATCACCCGCGAGCACTACATGGGCGAGATCCTCTTCCCTGGGATGAGCCGCCGCCCGACTCTGGACGGCCGCCACAGCCTCTTTCAGCACGACTACCACTGGGAGCTCTCCTTCGGCTGGACCAACAAGAGCTTCGGGGGGAGCATCTTCCTACATCAGCGGTTTCTGCAGGCACACCTACGTCTGATCTACCCTCCGCCCGCGGCGCTCACGGGCCGCTGCGGCGCGACAGTGCCGCTCCTCGGACGTGCTCCTCATGGTTCGTCACCTTTTCCGTGCCATCCGAGTCCTACTCATACCGCCAGGTGACCCAGGCTATGACCTCGTGGGCACGCACCATGATGGAGTCTGTGGGCAGTCGTCGCACGCCCTTCAGCGGGGCGGACCTCAGCTCGGCGACTACGTGGACGTGACGTTTCTCGGCTCCTCGTCCCTGCTCGGGCCCGACTTGTGGAGCGAGGTCGACAGCGCCGTGGGCACCTTCCTGGAGCTGGAGGGCCTCTCTGGACGTCTTCGGCAACGGTTCCTCTCGGACCACGACACCTTCTTTGTCAGCGGGGACACCTTCATAGGGACGCACGGACGATCACGCAGGATCGACTTCTTCTACGCCCCGTCCTCCCTGGAGTCCCACACACGCCAGTGCAAGGCCCCCATGGGAGCAGGACGCCGCCTCAACATATTGTACGATCGAGACCACCGCTCTGTCTACGCGGGCGACATCTTCGAGGCCCACGCGCTGCACACCTGGGACTACGACACGATCATGCTTCGTCTGGAGGGCGCCCTGAAGTCGCGCGACCTGCAGCAGGCGGTCACGTTCCTCCCCAAGTTGGTGCGCCTGCACGCCCAGTTGCTCAGGGACCTAGCGGACTCGGAACGGATCAGCATCGTGACCACGCCCACGGCTACCTCGATCGTCGCAGCTCGGGAAGCGGGCAAGATGGACGCAGAGGCGGCGCAGTTCCCCGAGGCGAAGCCCCAACTCACCACATTTGTACCTCGCTCACGCCGAGTTCAAGCACCCGCCGGCCTTCGTGGTGCAGGAGGCCCCGCAGGGGCACGGGCTCCCGCGTACCTTCCACCAGCAGTTCGCTTGCATGGAGACGGGCACGGAGCTCTTTTCCACCTCAGGCTGCGCACGCGCCACAACGACCAGTACACCAGGATGCAGTTCGCTAGCGCGGACCAGATCACACTGAAGAGCGTCAACCCAGACGGCCCTCGGGAGACTTGTCTCGACGTTCTGGGCGGCCGCCAGAAGATGGGGACGGGCCACCTGGAATCGATGGCCCAGAAACTGCCAGACAAGAACCGCCAGATCCACTACGGCCAGAAGGGCTGACACGGGTGGCGGATCCTACGGAAAGAGATGGGCGACCAGCACACTACGTGACGACGTGAGTCCAGCAGCTTCGCTGTAGCACCAGGCCCCTCTAATCGCTCTCGCCGCCCCTGGTCTCTAGGGCGCGCCGTCGGCCCTTTCTTCGGCCTGGTTTTTTTTTTTTCCTTCTCGGGGCCTCTGGGGTGTCCAGGGAGCCTGCTCGGTGCTCTCCGCGCCGTCGAGCTCGGCCCCCAGGGGCCAGAGGGGTATCACCCCCCGCCCGCGTGCGTTTTACGGTTTCCTGTCCTGCTCGGCTCGGATCAATGGTGATCACAGCTGCACGGCGCGCCCACACGCCTGACCTCGTTCGGTCCGAGGAGATCGCACGACTGTTCAGAGGTGTCCCCGAGCGATCTCTCATTTCGTGAACTCGAGG